TCACCTGAGATGGGTGGAGCCTAAAATTAAGCAGGGGTGAGCCACCTCTCAAGCTGGAGTGTCGGGCTCAGACAAACTTAGGGGGCCTACAAATCAAGCTTCACCTACCAAGCCAATCCACACCCTTCCGGAAGCCCCCCCCCAGTATTACCCCTCCCCCCGCCTATCCGTATTACACATCATCAGTCCTCTACGGATTTCTAGGTGTATAACAAATCGGTACAATGTACACACGTAGTGAGTTTACATTTGTTACCGTGGACCATTGTACCGCCAGTGAACCTTCCCATACATAGTACAATGGCAGTCTGTCCCTGTATTTGTGTCTCCAAACTGAGGCCCCCCAGGAATTGCCCTTCCTTTATTCAGGCCCTTGGGGTTATTGGTGTACTTTGAGTGGGATTCCTCCCACTGACACCAATGATGAATGGCAGGGGGTGACTACCAATTGGGGTCCTCCACTGACCCCATGATGGGGCCTTTTCCCACTCTGACACCAATGGGGGCACTATTCCTTGACACCAATGTGTTTTTCCTCCCACTGACACCAATGATGGGGCACTTTCCTCGCACTGATTGATGGGGGCCACTATTCCTCCACTGACACCATGAGGGGCACTATTCCTCCCACTGACACCAATGATGGGCACTATTCCTCCCACTGACACCAATGATGGGGCACTATTTTCCTCCCATTGGGGGCACTATTTCACCAATGATGGGGCGTTTATTTCACCATGATCCACCAATGGATGGGGCACTATTCCTCCCACTGGACACCAATGATGGGGCACTATTCCTCCCACTGACACCAATGATGGGGCACAATTCCTCCAACTGTTGATGGGGCACTTTTTCCTCTCCACTGACACCAAAGATGGGGCACTATTCCATTCCACTGACACCAATGATGGGGCACTATTCCCCACTGACACCGAATGATGGGGCACTATTCCTCCCACTGACACCCCTATTCCTCCCACTGACACCAATGATGGGGCACTATTCCTCCCACTGACACCAATGATGGGGCACTATTCCTCCCTGACCCAATGATGGGGTATTCCTCCCACTGACACCAATGATGGGGCACTATTCCTCCCACTGAAACCAATGATTTATCCTCCCACTGAGTTGACACCAATGATGGGCACATTCCCCCACTGACACCAATGATGGGGCACTATTCTTCCCACTGACACAATGATGTCTTAACTATTCCTCCCAATGATGGGGCAAATTATTCCTCCCACTGACATTGGGCACTATTACCTCCAATGACACAATGGGGGGCACTATTTCCCACTGACACCAATGATGGGGCACTATTCCTCCACTGACACCAATGATGACACCAATGATGGGGCACTATTCCTCCCACTGATTGGGTTTTACACAGAACCAATGATGGGGCACTATTCCTCCCCTTGACACCAATGATGGGGCACTATTCCTCCCACTGACACCAATGTGTGGGACAAACTATTCCTCCCACTATTGTGGGCACTATTCCTTCCACTGACACCAATGATGGGCACTATTCCTCCCACTGACACCAATGATGGGGTGGCTTTCCTTTTTAACACCAATGATGGGACACTATTCCTCCCAACTGACACCCAATGATGAGGCACTTCTGCGTTTCCTTCCCAACTTTGACACCAGTTGATGGGACTATTCTATTCCTACCACTGTGAAGAGGCACTAATCCCACTAGACGACCAATGAGGACACTATATTCCTCCCACTGACACCAATGATGGGCACGTATTCCTCCCACTGACACCAATGATGGGACCACTATCCTCCCACTGACACATTCCCCCCATTTTCCATTGGAGACATCTGCTCTATGTGATAGTTAACATTCATCTCTTCTACTTCCCAATATTATTATTAATAAAATAACCAACAATAAAAAAATTTCATGAATAATAACAATGATAAATATTCAAAAATATAATATATATATTTTTTAGTTAAATTTTTTAATTATTATTTTATTTATTGATATATAATTATTTCAGATAATATTTATAAATAAATAAATATGTATTGAAACCTTAAAAATAAATTATGAGCGATGCCTCTTTTGTGCTTTTAAAATTCTGTAAAAGCGAGCATTTCCATTATAATCACGGGCAACGCACGAAAAAACACATTACAGAACAAAATGCCTTTTAAACCGGTGCTTACAAAATGGAGACAGGAGATACCGAAAACCGAAAAAAAAAAAAGCAAAAAATGTATGTAAATCGACGCATAAACCGCGTCTTTAAGTTGCATCACGTGTTAGCGCCACGCATTAAAAAAAGCGCCAAACATGCGTGTGCGTTTTTTTTTTTTTTTTGAAGTACGATAGGGCTGGATGCGGGCTCAAAAAGTAATCCCGTAGCCTGGTTAAAATGCTGTGACTTGTAGGTTTCCGTGGGGTTTGGGAGCTTCGGTATAAAGGGAGGATTTAGACTTTGATATTTGGGTCCTCTGCGTGCGTCGCTGCAGCCGGTTAAAAACGTTTTTTTTCCCCCGACTTTAATCTTTATTCCCAGGCAGTCATGTGACTCGCGGAGTGGAATGATGGGTTGCTAGGCAACCCGTCGCTTTGATGGAACCATAAAATCAAGCAGGGCTGCCAGCAAAAATTAACACCTATTACAAATATATATCTTTCTCTCTCTCTTTCTATATATATTTTTTTTTTTATTTATTTTTTTTTTTAAATAAAAAAAAAATTAAAAATTAAATTAAAAAAAAATCATATATTATATATATATATAAATATATATAATAGTCAAAAACACACCCATATATATATATATATATAATATTTATTTTATTATAAATTTATATATATATATACACACATAAAAAAAATTTTTTATGTAGTTAATAAATATATTTAATTTTTTTTTTATTTAAAAAAAATATATATATATATATATATACAGAAATACAGTATATATATATATATATTTATATAAGATAGATAGAGAGAGAGAGAAAGATTTATATATATAAAAATAGGTTTTAATTTTTTAAATATATAAATTTATATACAAAACTTACAAAAAATGAGAATATTCCATGCAATCAAAAAAAAACACGGGATTGTACATTAGAACAATATCGCACCTCAAAAAAAAGTAAAGCTGCATATGTACTCAGTATATTGGTTGTAAATATTTTTGCAGCATAAATTTTAAATTATTACTGCCTCAATGCGGCGTGGCATGGAAGCGATCAGCCTTGGCACTGCTGAAAATTTATGGAAGACCAGGAAGGGCTTCAATAGCGGCCTTCAGCTCTTCTGCATTGTTAATAAAATCTCAAATGTCGTCTCATCTTTCTGCTTTGCAATGCCCCATAGATTCTCTATGGGGTTTCAGGTCATAAAAGTTTGCTGGCCAATCAAGCAATAAAAGTAATCCCAAATTTTAAAATTGAACCAGGTTTTGGTTGCTTTTGGCAGTGTGGGCGGAGCCAAGTCCTGCTGATTAAAAAAATAAAAGTCAGCAGTCCCCATTAAAGCTGGTCTGTGGAAAGGGAAGCATGAAGTGCTCCAAAATCTCCTGGTAGACCCCGGCTGCGGTGACCCTGGACTTAATGAAGCACAGTGGACCAACACCACAATGACATGGCTCCCCAAATCAACACAGACAGTGTGGAAACTTCACAATAAGCGACAAAACAATAAAAGCATCTTGCAGTGTGTGATGCCTCTCCATTCTTCCTCCATACTTCGGGGTCCTTGGGCCATCTCCATTCTTCCTCCATCCTCAGGGGGTCCTTGTGCCTCTCCATTCTCCCTCCAAACTCGGGGTCCTTGGGGCCTCTCCATTCTTCCTCCATACTCGGGGTCCTTGGGCCTCTCCATTCATTTCCTCCATACTGGCAAGGGGTACCTTGGAAAAAAACTCCATTCTCTCCTCCATACACGGGGTTCCCTTGTGCCTCTCCATTTTCCTCCATACTCGGGGTCCTTGTGCCTCTCCATTCTTCCTCCATACTCGGGTCCTTGGGCCTCTCCATTCTTCCACCAATACTCGGTTATCCTTGGGGCCTCTCCAATTCTTCCTCCATACTCGGGGTTCCTCGGGCCCTCTCCAAAAATTCTTCCTCCAAACTCGGGGTCCTTGTGCCTCTCCATTCTTCCTTATACTCGGGGTCCTTGGCCTCTCCAAATCTTCCTCCATACTCGGGGTCCTTGTGCCTCTCCATCCTTCCTCCATACTCGAGGGTCCTTGGGCCTCTCCATTCTTCCTCCATACTCAAAAAAAATAAAAAAAAACTTGTTCCTCTCCATCCTTCCTCCATACTCGGGGTCCTTGTTGCCTCTCCATCCTTCCTCCATCAAACTCGGGTCCTTGGGCCTCTAAAAAAAAAAAAATTCTTCAGTAAAAATACTCTGGGTCGCTGGGCCTCTCCATTCTTCCTCCATAAAAAAATGGGTCCTTGGGCCTCTCCATTCTTCCTCCATCAAAACTTGGGTCCTTGGTTTTCCAAATAAAAGATGCAAAAAGTTGCTCTCATCGAAAAAAAAAAAAAAAAAGAGGATTCAAAAAAACCAAAAAAAAACAAAAGCAAAAAAAAAAAAACAAAAAAAAAAAAGGAACTTTAGTCCCAGGGTAAGAACCATTCTGATGTTGTGTAAAAAAGAAGGAGAAAGAAAAGGAAGGAAGAAAGGAGGAAAAGACCAGAGGGAAAGAAGAGAGGAACAGGAAGAAAAAAAAAAAAAGGCTTAACTAAAAATGAAAAAATAAAACATTTGGGAAAGCCCCCATGTAAGGAAAAAAAAAAAAAAAAAATGTGGTTGGTGGCTCTTGATGCACTGAAATGTCCAAAGCCCCTCCGTTAAAAAACTCCTTGAAACCAAAAAAAAAAAAAAACATAAAAAAAAAAATAAAAAACAATTTTGAAAAAACAATCCTCTCCAGGCTGCGGTCATCCCTGCTGCATTGTCAAAACCTTTTTCTTCCACACTTTTCCCTCCCACATAACTTTCTATTAATGTGCTTTGATAACAGCACTTTGGGAACATCCAACTTCTTCTGCAATTCCCTTTTGAGGCTTTCCCTCCAAATGAGGGTGGTCAGTGATGGTGTCAGGTCAGCAGTCTTTCCCATGATTGTGATTCCTACTGAACCAGACTGAGAACCATTTAAAGGCTCAGGAAACCCTTTTGCATAGGTGTTTTGGCTGAATGATTCCCGATTAAGTGGGACACTTTGAGCCGAGATTATTCCATACCTTTTCACAAAAATTCTCATTTTCTGAGATTGTGGATTTGGGGTTTTTCATGAGCTGTAAGCCAAAATAATCACAATGATAAAAACAAATCACGGCTGGAAATATCTTGCTTAAAAAAAAAAAAAAAAAAAAAAATGAAACCCTCAAAAATTAGTGTCACCTTTTAAAGTTGCTGCACTGAAATCAATGAATGAAATGAATGAATGAATGCCACCAGATTCTCATTTTTCCAGTTTTCACCTGTAAACATAAATTAATATTTTAAAAATGAACCCCTATTATATTATAAAAATATATCTTTCTTATATTTTTTTGTTACTGTATTTCTGTTATTATGTATATATATATAATTTATTTATTTATTTAAAAAAAAAAGTAAATATTTATATATTTAAAATATAATAAAAATAAAATAAATAAAAAATTGTTTATAAATATAATAAATAAATATAAATATAAATAAAATATATATATATAAAAAAAAAAAAAAAATAAAATATAATATATATACACAACATATACATATATATAAACACATATATATATGATATTTTATATATATATATATATATATAATAATATATATTTATATATTTAAAATATATAAATATATATAAATTATATATTGTTTATATATATATTTATATATATATATATATATATTTGTTAAAATAAAAAAAAAAAATATATATATATATATAATATATATATATATATAAATAATTTATTTTTTTTATTATTATTATTATTATAATTATTCTTTCATTTTTTTTACATCCCAAAATGATTAAAGTGGAGACGCGCTTTTTAACTTGGCTCACCCGAGAAACAGAAATGGGTGTGGCTTTTTCATTTTTAATATGCAGGACTGCGTGGGCGCCGCCGATGACGTCACAAAAGAAAAAATGAAACGTCACAAAAGAAAAATGGACGCGATTCCGCGCACACGCCGGCGCTCGTTCTTTTTGCTGTGAAAACAGTTAAAATGAAATCACGAATAAATAAAATAAAATCCCAAACCATTTCTCCTGCGCGGGGGCGGCGGTCTCAGCCATCGGCCAGCGTTGCCCGGGGAGCCTCCGCGGACGGCGCCATCATCTCTCATACTGTTCACTGCGATGCCTGAAGTGGTAATCTGCGGAAGCACATGGCATGCTGGGACGCACAGATGATTACGACGTGATTGGATAATCCCGGGATTAGCGCTGGGCTCTCGGGATTTTGTGCAGGCGATTATACCAAAGAGATCAGTACACAGGTGGCTTCTGATCTGGAGGTTCCGCCATCTTCACTGACAACCGCGCCCCCCCCCCCCCCAAATCTGAGATTCCACCCCCGCCTTATTGATAATAATAGTGGGACGGAGCGATGTTCTGCAGATCTCTAGAGGGATCAGTGATGGAATAATCTGCAGAATATATCAGTTATGGAT